TGGTGTCATTCTGGTGCATTCCCTTTGAGGGTTTCTTTTTCTTTTTTCAACCCCAGTACTGCACATAGAATTGTGTGTCCTTCTATTCACTGAGGCATCTTGTGTTCTAACCAGGACCACCTACCCATCGGTAGCCTCAGTGTTGAAGTGCTACTCCCGTATCACACCGACTCCCCCCACCCACACCATACTTCCTTTCATTTGTATGTTGAGGTTTTGGTAGGGGTGTGTTAGGGTCTCCGTTTAATACTCTGCTGTTGACAGTTGTGCAGTAGACAGTTTACCAAGAGTTTGGGGTACGTGCACTTATTCCCAGAGGTAAGTTTGCAGGGACCTGAGCTGAGTCCCCTGTTCCTAAGCCAAGGGTGGGGTCCTGGGAGAAAGTCCAGGCTCACCTGGGGGCTTCCGGGACATTCAGCTGCGTGAACATGGTTGTGTGGGTGCAGTGTGCATAAGTCCTGAATGGGGACTGGCCAACGTGGAATTAGGGGGCCCAGCTCCCACAGAACCTAACAGTTTAAGTGAGTGACTGGACAGACGCAGAAATTGAGCCGCATCTGCAAGCCCCTGGGAGCTGAGGGTGGGAAGGTGCATGAGGAGGGGGGGTCACATCAGGCTCTGGGCCAGAGGAGGTGGATTGAGGCAACCAGGAGTGCTTGGGTCCATACCGGGTCCCTCCCAGCCCCTGCTGTGCCGCCCCAGGCCTCCCACTCCCCCTCGCTGTGTCCTCCTGCCTCTAGCAGGACAACCCTGTCCGTAGGGCAGTAATGGAAACTTCCAGATCTTTTCATCCTAAGACTTTACCCTGCTGACACCCACCAAGTGCAGGCGTTCAGGAGACTTTGCAGCCTCCCTGGGAGGAGTGAGGTTGGAGGGAGCTTGGTGGGGGATGGCCAGTGACAGTAGGGAGTGACAAGGGTGCAGCGTGACACTGTGGAGCCAGCCCGAATTGCCACCTGGGCCCCGAGGTAGACTCACAGACCAGCAGGACCAGTGTTTGGCCACGGGCAGTGAAGCCGTGCCCCCTGGGTGCTGCAGTGTGGTCCACAGTGGCTGCTTGCTTAGTTGTGCATTGTGTGTGTATCCAGGTGCCTCTGGAATCTGTTCATCCCCATCCTCCCATCGTCTTACTGTCACTACCAGCACCCCATTAACTGGAGCCCAGAATGGGGCTCCTGCATCCCGTGGTTTCCCCCCACCGAGTACATTTGTACTTGTCAGGAGAGGATTCTGATGGGAAGGAAGCCTTTTCCTTGCACTCAGCTTCCTGGTTCTGTTCTTAGAACTTCTCCCCACCGGTGACTTCTGAGAGCCAGGCCACGGGCCCTGGGTCACCTCCGGTGGCCGCTGACGCTGGAATCCGGAAGCTGGAATCCGAGGGTGGGTGAGTCTCTAGGTTTGTTGACAGACACCATGTGCAAACACAGATGCAGCCCCCAACCCCCAGCAACTGGGGTGACAGACGCTTCCAGGGGAGTGTCCCCGCCCTGTCCCATTCTCCCCTAGCCTGTAGGGCTCACAGCCCTGGGAGGAGCTTCGGAATTAGGATGAGATTCTCGCTCCTGGACTGGCAGCCTCGCTGGTTGGTGTCCCCTAGGTTCTGTCCCCTCTTTACATTACAGAGCACTTGCCCTGCCTCTGCTGCCCGCAACACCCACCCTCCTTTCGTCCCTTCTTGTGACTTTTCCTTGAATTTGTTTACAGCAGTTACCCATGGGATCCTTCCAGGACACAATTAGGGCAGCTTCATTTATGAAAAGGAGCATCTGGGATCCCCCTTGCATCTTCTATTAGGATCTGGGAACAAACTTAGAGGGGGTATGGGGAGGAGAAGGAAGAGGTACAGAATCCACCCTGGATCTCGGTATTTAACCCTTACCCCACCCCAGTCCCTCCAAAGGGTGGGGTCTCAGGAAGGCTGCACCCTGACCCTGACTCTTCCCTCCTGCCCATCAGGCCACACGGATGGGGTGACCAGACAGAGGCTGCCCTTGTCCTTCATCATTGCTTCGGGATGTGGCATTGGCCTTTGCTTCTGCTTTTTGCAAAGGCCTGGCTGGTGCCAGGAGGGCTTGCTGGCACATTTGAGGGCTGCTCAGAGCACACCACTGGGCTAGTGTTCTCTGTCCTGGCTCTTGCCCACCCCACGCAGCCAGCCAGGGTGTGACCAGGTGCCTGCTGAGCCGGCCAGTGTCAGCTGCGGCCTCCACAGTGGCTTTCTGTTCTGAGTACCAGGCGGGAGGGCCTCCTCATCAGCAACCACCTCACGTCCCCACTAGATGGAGGGCCTGGCCTGTCGCCTTGGAGGCCCTGCCACCCCGAGGGGACCAGGAGACATGGCTTTCCTCAGGGACTGATCTCTGCTGAGTCCCCTTGTCACTGGTGTCGGGGAGTGTGACAGCTGCTGGCCACATGGGGCTGTTGGGGCCTCCAGATGTGGCTAGTGTGACTGAGGAAGTGAAAGTTAAATTTAAAAACTGATACTTGATTCAGTTATTTAGAAAAACTTTTTTAAGTGTGTTTGGAACATCTTGGGGTGTGTGAAGCTACTTTTGCAGATCAGGTGTTTCCAGTGAGAATTTAGCATCCAAATTGAGATGGGCTTTGAGACCAGAGACCATAGAATGAAAAGAGAATGTAAAGTATCTCATTCATGATTTTATGTTAATTATGTGGTGAAATAATATTTTGGATATATATTGTCTTAAGGCATTATTAGGATATTTTCATATAAATACACCTTTTTAAAAAATCTTTTTTTAAGATGGTTACTAGAACATTTGAAGTTAATTTGTGTCTCACGCTGTATTTCTCTGACCTTGCTGCTTCTATCTTGAAGCCTGCTTTTGCTGAAAATGTGATTGGTAGTCCTTGGCAGGGGTGGGGGTGGGGGCGCGGAGATGGTTAATGTCTCAGGAGTGCTTTGGGCCCCAGGATTCGATCTTGGGAGACCCACAGTGTGTTTTGAAAGGAACAAATAAAAGATATCTTCTGTTCATAAAGCATTACTTCTTGATTGCACAAATGACCTATTTCTTGTGGGAAAATTAGTACTGATTAGACAAAGTTAAACATGCTGCTTTGGAAGGGGAGTATGTGGGTGTTCTAGCAATATTTCCGAGCAATGCTCCCAGCAGTCTTCTGCTGAGCTCATCGTTAGCATAGAAATACCGCTTTGCGTCATTTCAGAGTCCTTCAAGACGCTTTCATGTTCTGTATCTCTTATAAACGTAAGCACCCCGATAATAGTGCTAGCACTCCAGACTCCTGGACGGTGGCAGGGCGAAACCAGCCAAGACTCCAAAAGGGACTATAGCTGGTTGGACAGTGATAACAAGTAAATCCTCCAGAAGTTGGGCTGCGCACTTGAGTTTACCGTTGGGGCAGAGCAGGGACTCCGTGCCAGAATGGGCTAATCTGGCCTGGAGTCCTTCCTTTTGCTGGATGAGCAAGCTGGAAAGTGGATTTTGCTGATTTTACTGTCGATGTGTGTTTTGCCCCAGGGTGGGACTGTGGAATCCTTTGGGGTGAGTGCATTCAATTAAGAGACCGTGTGTGTGTGTGTGTGTGTGTGTGTGTGTGTGTGTGTGTGTACTTCTTTCAAGCCCTGAAGGCGGCGGGCTGAGGCTGCTACACGGTTCACACTTCTGTCCAGCACAGGTATTTACAACTAAGACATGTTCGAGAAAACATGGGGATCTCTGATGTGGTGACCTGTGACCCCGTCATCGAGTGGGGAGGGGCCCAGTGTGTTTGGGTCCACATCCACTCCCCCCAAGTTCTGGTGTGGACAGGAGCCATAGAAACAGTGAGGGGGAGATAAAATCACTTTATATGTTTTTTGAAGGTGTTGGCCTCTTCAGGCATGCCTGCCAAGGCTCTCACTCTAATCTGATGATTGGACATCATTCTGGGGTGTTCAGCTGGACCCTGTGGGATTAGGGCATTGTGTGATTGTCCCTCTTGTCTCCATCAGTGCTAGCTGGCAGTATACAGAATACAGAGACCCTCGTGTTGTGCAATAGAGTGACTCTGGGAAAAAAGCTGTCTCACTGGAAACATTTTTAAAAAGGCCTAAGAGGAGCTTTGTTGGTGAAGTTTCTGTAGTGACCACTTTTGTAAGGACCAAGAATACCTAAGAAACCTATCCCCTTACTGGTCTTCTGTAAAATTAGACTTTTATCTTCTGATTTGTGAAAAACCAGGTACATCTGGGCAGGGGAGGCAGACCTGCCCTGAGAAGTGCTTTGGGCAACATGAGCGGTGGGTCGGAGCCGGCACACTCCCAGGGGGAGCTTGTTAAAGACCCCAGACACGGGGCCATGACTGATGGCTGGTGCCTGGGCCTCCTTTCAAAGCCCCTTGGTGTGAGGGCCAGAAGGCGGCTCATTTCCGCGCGCTGCCTCTAACGGTGCAGATTAGCTGTGATTTATCCCCTCTCCCAGGGAAGCCAGTGTCGTAAAGGAGAGAAGTCCCCTCATTTACAGCTTATACCAAAGGCCTACTGAATGCTAGGATCCTGAATCATCAGGTCGTGGGGACTCAGAAGCATCTCTGTAATCTTTACTCTGTACTTTTTTTTAATTGCATGAGCAGACCATAAAATAAAAATAAAGACCTCTCTTAAAAAGAAGCTTACACCTAATCCTCTATCCTAGCATGCAGTAGATCTTTTTCCCGAGGTCCCTGTACAGATGCAAGCATGACTTTTATTTGTTCATGAGCAAGGCTGAAGTATAATTAACTTTGACTTTTCACATTTATTTGTATTGTAAATATTCCTTCCTATTCTATAGGATCCTTCATAGTTACCGTTCAACGGCTGCACGTTTCGTCCAGTGACTTGATAAACTGTAATTTTCTTAATCATTCTTTACTTTTGTTTCCTGTTCTTAACGGTATCTTTTCCCCTTTGTTTCTGTAGGAAGTTCTCCAGCAGCTGATCGTAATGAATTTGCCCAATGTTTTGATGATTGGCAAAGACCCGCTGTCTGGTGAGTGGAAGCTGCCCCCTGCGGTGCCCGGGCAGTGCCATCGGCTCTGAGCAGCTGCTGGAGACAGAGCTCTGGCTGCCAGCTCAGAGCCACCACAGTGACAACACGTGATCATTTTGGTGCGATTTTAAAGGGTGGTTTATTACTCTGAGGCATTAAGCCAAGAGCACGTTTTTTCCCCCCCTTAAGAATGAGCCCTCCCAACCCCTCATATGCAAGTGTGGAGGCAGGCGAGGCCACTGCTTTGTCAGGCTTAGGCGCCTGAATCGTAGGCCAGACTTGCTGGGGGTCTCTCCTTAGTAAATTTGGAAGCCACACCGTCATGGTATTGTGGTATCTATTGGCAAGAAAGTTAAGAACCTTTTGAGTGAACGAGTGTCCCTTCCGCTGGATTGTACTACACTTTGATTCACACTGTGGTGTATCTCTCCGGCATGTCCTGTTTTGTATCTGTTTTCATACCTCCCACGGGTCTATGGAGCCCGAGAGGGCAAGGTTTCTAAGTCCCAGGCTTGGACACTCGGTGTGCCTTTGAAAGACTGAATGAAATGTCCTCCATTGCAGAAAATCAGAGCTTAATTCATACCTGCCCAGCTAACTCACCGGGAGAGTTAAACAGGCTGATGGATTTCTTCCCTGCCACAGTTGTGTGCCTTGACCTGCACCCATGGCTCATGGACATCAGCTCACCGGCCCCAAGGACAGTGCACTAGCTGGCTGGGACCTGTTCCAGCAGACACTTGGCTAGCGTAGGTCTCTGGCCTCCTAGAAACAGGTGAGGGTCCAGGAATGCAGGAAGGACCCCACACAGTAGAGGCTTCTACAGAAGGAACCGAAGCTTTCCTCTGCAGCATCTCCTCTCACCCTGCTCCCACTGGAGTCTGGCTGTCCTTGCTCCTGCCTATATGACATTAGCTAAAGTTGCCTGCAGACTGAAGGAAGAGTACACCGAGTGACCAGCCCAGGACACTTCTTGTAGAGAAGTTGTATTTTAGCGCCGTGGCCCTCGGCTGCAGCAGCATCTGGGGGCACCACGTCGGGGGCAGCTGAGCATCAGATCACTTTGCTCCTGGCGAGTGTCCTCCTGGGCCCCAGCTGAGTGGTGCGTGTGCCTTTTCTCCACATGACCTCCCATAGTCTTTAGCACAGCTGGCCATGAGCACTCACGGCCTTGCATGATGGCTTTGCAGAGGCCACCCAGGCCCACCTGGTGGCTCCTGGCAGCGAACACCCTTACCCACTGGGTGTGTCGGTAACCAGGGCCTTTGGTTCACTTTGCCCCCGGCTCTGCCTTTGGGCCATTTGTCTTTTGGTTTGATTTCCTGGTTCCCCCACATAGAGGATGCCAGCCACAGCCCTGGGCCCCAGGGACAGTCGGCGCTCTCGTATTTCTGTAGTAACATCAGGAAAGTGGGGGTCTCCTTCGCCAAGCAGAACTGTCCTGACATATTCGGGGACTGGTCTTACAAGGGAAGAGAGATGCCTGTGGGAGGCTGGCCGTGCAAGCTTCATTCTGCTCTTCTGCCTGCTCTGGAGGCGGCCACGTAAGGCGAAGAGGCGGGTGGGGGAGCAGGAAAGAAGGATGCTCCCTCCTTGAGCCCTTGGTGAGCCTGCCATGTGCTGGGCGTTGTGTATGTATTAAAACGTGGAAATCAAAGTGTGCTTCCGGGGTGTGGCTGTGCCATCCTGTTTATAGGTGAGAAGATGCAGGCCCGTAGAGTTTAAGTGATGAGCCCTCGGTCACTCAGCCTGTAAGCAGACCCCGGAGTCTGAACTCCCCATCCATAGCACACACGGACATGTGAGGTTGGGCCAGTGTTCAGCCGTTTTGACCTACAAAACTGGCAGTGGCAGATGGCTCAATCTAACATGAAACTCCTCCCACTCCCCCACCCAGCCCCCCCATCACCCTGGCGTGCTGTGTAGCTCACCCACCTTCCTCTGGGTGCCCTTTCTTTTCCCTGTCAGTGTCCTCTCTTCCTGCTGCTGGCGGGAAGCCTGTCCCCTGGAAGCCCCTTCACCAGGTTCCTCCTCACCCTGGAACCCTGGCCCCAGCCTCCCCCTCGGCAGAGTCTCTGTTCCAGCCTCTGAACCACAGGGGCCAAGAGGCTGTCCACATGTAGAGACAACACAGGCCCCCACTTCAGGTCCAGTGCTGAACAGAAACATCCAGGTGAGGTGGACGCTGACTTTTTCTTGAGACGGCTTTATTGAGGTATAGTTTGCATCCCATAAAATTCACCCGTTCTGAGTATACTGTGGGGTGACTCTCTGCCATAATCGTATAGAGTCGTGTGACCTTTGCCATAGTTCAGGTATAGAACGTTGTGGGGAAGCTGCTTTCCAACTGACAGGTGCGTGGATTGTCTCCAGCACAGAAAAGAATCCGTACATGTCACTCAAAAGGTTGTGTCCCCAGCTCTCAAGGAGAGGTTGGAAAGAGACCTCGAGCGTGGGCCTCGTGACAAGCCCGGAGGGCCCCCAGGCGGGGTCTTTGCGGGCCGCGCACAGAGACCGGTTCTGGCTCATCACGGCGCCAGCGGCCTGGCCGGGAGCTGGGAGCTGGGCACACGCTTGGGTAGGTTTTGACGGAAGTCCCAGGGGGCCTCCGGGAAGAGAGAAGGTTGGCAAGAAGATGCAGAGGCCTATTTTTGGAATGGTGTTGTCTGTTTTCAATTAAAAAAAAATAGATGAGTGAAGCATTTGGGGTTTGTTTTTGAATAAAGCACAAAGTTGCTTTCTGTTTTGGGTGGTGGCCTGGAAGTGGGTTTGGAAGGTGAGCGGAGCGCTGTCTTTTTACTCCTCCTCGCACGTCGTAGGAAGATGCCTGTGCTCTTTTCGGCTCACGTTGACACTGTACCGTTATTTATAACACACCACAGTTTGGGGTTGTTGTTACTATTTTTTTGGCAAATGCGTCTCAGTGGAGCCAGGGGCCACGGGTGGGACAGAACACAACAGAGCATCCAGTCCCAGTGACACCCATCCTGAGACGCCAAACCTTTGTCCCCTTGCTCTGACCCCAACAAGGGAGGTGTCATGACTTCTGTTATGAGATTTTTTTTCTGTGTGTCTGACCTGCTGTGCCTGCGCCCGTCAGACAAAAGGATGTTCTCTTTTTTCTGCCTTGGGTGGGATTCGAGAACTGCTCAGTAACTGCAAGAACTTCTCTCTTTTTCTTTTCTTTTCTTTCTCTTCTTTCTTTCTTTCCTTTTCTTTCTTTTCTTTTCTTTCTTTCTTTCTTTCTTTCTTTCTTTCTTTCTTTCTTTCTCTCTCTCTCTCTCTCTCTCTCTCTCTCTCTCTTTCTCTCTTTCTCTCTTTCTCTCTTCCTCCCTCCCTCCCTCCCTCCCTTCCTTCCTTCCTTCCTTCCTTCCTTCCTTCCTTCCTTCCTTCCGAGCAAGTGCAAGCCAGGGAGAGGGGCAGAGAGAGAAAGAGGGAGGGAGAGAGACAATGAATCATAAGCAGGCTCCATGCTCATGATTGGAGCCAAAACCCAAGAGTTGGACGCTCAACCAATAGCCACCCAGTTGCCCCAAAGAACTTCATATACTCTAAACTGTTGTTAAAATCTCTCTGCGGTGGGGTGCCTGGGTGGCTCCATCAGTTAAGTGTCCGACTCTTGATTTTCGGCTCAGGTCGTGATCTCATGGTTCAGTTGATGAGTTTGAGCCCCACATTGGGCTCTGCAGTGGTAGTGCAGAGCCTGCTTGGGATTCTCTCTCTCCTTCTCTATCTCCCCCTCCGCCCCCACTATGTTCTCACTCCCTCTCTCAAAATAAACAAACTTAAAAAAAAATCTCTCTGCAGTACCTGCCCCTCTGGCCCCAAATCCTCATTCTCTCTTCTTTAGCTTGAATTGCCACTCTGGATTTTCTCTTTAATGGCACGATGTTGTGCAGCTGTCTGTCACCTGGGTGCCAGTCCCTTGGGAAGCGTCTGTCCAGTACCTCATTACTGTGGACCCCATTTGTTGGAGCCCGGCTGGGGTCTCGCAGGACTCTGCCCTGAGCCCCTTGCTCACTTTTACGTGATGGCTGTGAGCAGGAAAGCCTTGCCCTGGTGGCTCCCACCTTGTTCTGGTGGCTCCCAGGGCTGGGTGTTGTAGGGTGTCCCTTTGTTTTGTTTCTAGTTGGCTAAATCCTGACCTCTCTCACCCACACTTGTTTGTCAGGCAGATACCTCGGCTGTGCCTTCGCAGCACCTGAGGTCTTCTCTCCTCTTGCCACGTGGCCACCCTGATCTCCCACCTGGCTGCGTGCCAGAGTGGCTTTGTGACACCTGCCTGGCTCTGTCCTTGCCCCTGGTAGTCTGTCCTAAGCACAGCCCCTGGTCCTCTTAGATACACGCCAGTCAGGTTGTGTTACTTTCTTGCCCCTTACCTCCTGGCGCTAGGGTCTGCGCAGTGGCTGTTCCCACTGCCTGGCACGCTTTTCCCAGACACAAGTCTTTGCTCAGGTGCCCCTCCCGACCCCCTCTGTCCCCAGGCCAGTCCCCTCATCCTGCTCTGCCTCCCCCTTTCCCAGTATTTATCACCCTCCAGTATCATTTATTTTTTCATCTCTGTTGCGTTGCTTACCCACCCCCACCCCCAGGATGTAATTTCTCATGAGGACAGGAATCTTTGGGTTTTTTCTTCTTACTGCCGCCCATCTATCCCAAGTGTCCACAGCAGTACCTGGCCCATAGTAGGTGCTCAGTAAAGAAAGCATGCCTGCCGGAGACCTACCTTTATCTCCTCCTGTCCCCACTTCCCTTCCTTCAAGCAAGTGCAGCTGACAAGTGTTAAGCACATGCTCTCACAGATGCAAAAGGTCAGATGTCAGTGGTCGGGGTCAAGTGGAAGTCCATCTCTGCCCAACACCATGTGTGTGTGGCTCCGCGAGACTGGAGATGATGTGCTGGAAACTGCCCTCACCCTACCAGCTTGCCAGCTGTGCATCCATTAGGGACATTTACATGGTTTCTCAGAGTCTGTTCTGGAAGAAGTCATGACAACCAAGAGGTGATGATGTCTGCTTTATCTGTGAAATGAGGGAAGGTTTTTGGTCACACCTGGACCAGCTCCCTGGTCCCCTCAAGCTCTGCTTTCTCAGCAGCCAGGCCTGTCACCGGGCCACACAAAAAAAGACTAGATTCGTCTGACAGAAGCCAAGGTGGTAGCAAATTAATTTCTCCGATGACTCATTCAGCAGTCATGCTGGAAGAGAGCATTGTTTGTCTTCCAAGGTTTGTATCCAAGTGCAATAGTGGTTTTCTGACTTGTAAATGGCTGATCCCACCTAAGATGCTTAGAGTGGAAGGAAGGGAGCCATGTTAAGTTGGGAAGCCCAGCTCAGAGAGGAGAGGGAACTCCTTCAGAAGCATATGGCTTGATGGCCCCGTAGGTAAGAGACGCATTTGTCACTGTTAAGTTCTGCAGATGGATATATACGTGGGTCATCGGGGAGTGGCCACCATCATCCTTCAGCCCAGTGCTGCATGGATTTTAAACACAAGGCAAGATACCCGGGTCTGTGGAGGGGCTGTCCCCATATCCTGCAGAGTGGTGTCTGTGAATACAGCTGGAACACTTGAGGATAGTCTTGGGGATTCCATTAATTGCTATTCAGTGGGCTGGCCATTGGTCTTCTGTTTTCTCCCTATTCTGGTGCTCACTGAAGGGCTTCTAGTGACCGAGAAAGCACCTTGATGAGTGGGAGCATTCTGTGCCTACAGGTGCCTTAGCTTCCTCCCAGCTCACGCAGGCCTCTGTTCTGACGGAGGAAACCAAAGGGCCAATTTCTGCCCCTCCCCCGCCCCCATAGAAGACTAGAATGGCCCTGCACCCTTGCTTTTTTGAGTAGGCTACCCCTTGGCCAGAGGCCCACAGAGAAGTTGAGCCCGACCCTCTCCTCCAGCTTTCATTGTCAGACGCCCACCACGCTGGGTCCAGGGCCCCTGGAAACAAGGAGGCTGTTTTTGCTCAAGAAGCCCCCAGTCCGTGTTGGGGGAGGGAGGATAGGAAGACCACGTTGGTAACTGCTAGATCTTTTCCAGGGTGAGAAGTGACATATGTGTGCTTTCCATAAAATGCAGAGCAGATGATGAATTCTGCCAGGCAGGCCAGGAAGACCTCCTGGAGGAGGCTGTGTGTGGCAGAGCAGCAGAGAGGAAAGGTGTCCTGGGAGGGAGAAGCTCACAGGAGTGGAACTGTGTTGGGAATCCCATGAGGGGCATCTGTCCTCAGGACACTAGGAGGAAGTCTCTGTCACAGCCGAAGTTTACTTTTCAAAGGCCGGAGGGAAACTCCTGAGATCAATATTTAACCCTCGCAGTGTTTGCTTGCTCTCCTGTCAAAGGCATCCCCAAAGTGCTTTTCAGACCCCGTGGAAGCCTTGCCTCCTAGTCCACACGGCACAGCTCTGCCTTCTGCAGACTAGCAGGGAGCCTGTGTGGGCTGTGTGCCTGTGGCTTGCTCCCTGCACCCCGGCAGCCCGGGAAGAGGGCCCGGAGCTAGGTTTGTTAGGAACAGTCTTCTTGCCCCAGTGAGTGTTCTCTTAAAGATCTCGAGGGCTGGCTTCCCTCCCCCGCCATCTCCCTGCGGTTCTGCCCTCCCTAATGCCGCCGCTTGCCGGGTGACCTGGTGGCAAGCGTCCACCATTGGGGGTTAAAGGGAGATTTCTGGTGTTACTTCTCTTAACCTTATTTTTTTTTTTTTTTCATTTCTTCCTCATTGTAATTTTGTTCTTGTGTGCACATATTTTTATTTTTGTATTTACAAAAACCTCAGGTTCTTTATTTTTTCTTATGTTTGTTTATTTTGAGAGCGTGAGGGAGGGAGGGGCGGAGAGAGAGAGGAAGAGAGAATTCCAAGAAGGCACTGCCCTGTCAGCACAAAGCCCAACATGGGGCTCGATCCCACGAACTGTGAGATCGTGATCTGAGCCGAAATCAAGAGTCGGACGCTTAACCGACTGAGCCACCCAGGGGCCCCAAACCTCAGGTTGTTTAGACAAAGAGGGAAGAAGTAAGTGAGCAAAGGAGAACCAACCTTGTAGCCATTTGGATCCTGGTGACGCTCCCCGTTCTGTCCTGGAGGGAGCAGGCTCGAAAAGCATCCAAGTGCGGTTGCAAATGGCGAGGCTACGGCCTGCTGCTTTGCTCCTGTGCTGCTTGCTGGATCTGGAAAGGAGTCTTTTGGTCCATCTAGAACGCGGGGGTTGCTGGACACTTGAGCTGAAAGCCAGCACTTTGCTTTTCCAGGAACGTGAAAAGCTTGGTTAACACGAGGCACAGGCGGGTGTTAGAGCGCAGCCAAATGCTGGCCTTCGGAACAGCCCTGGGATCTGCCTGGATACCAGCCTTTGTTGAGTAAACTTCTTAGCGATGGTCTGTACACAGAGACGGCTCCCTGGCTGTGGTAACCACGCCATGGCTTCCAGCAGCACTGTTCCCTGTGGCCGTGGCTGTCCGAGGAGGAGGGACGAGATGTTGTTTGTGAAAGGTTCTTTATGGTCACTGATAGTAGTTGGGCTTTGAGTTTTCTGCCTGGTGGTGGGGAGGAACCCTTCTCTTCCTCGCATCATCTCCTGCCTGTGGCGCCCTCTCGCCTGCGACCAGTGCAGATGCTGGGTCTCAAGCTGAGTTCTTGTGGTCAGATTCTGCTTTTCTTCTTCTTCTTTTTGTTAATGTTTGTTTACTTTGAGAGAGAGACAGACTGTGAGCAGGGGAGGGACAGAGAGAGAGGGAGACACAGAATCGGAAGCAGGCTCCAGGCTCTGAGCCATCAGCCCAGAGCCCGACGCGGGGCTCGAACTCACGGACCGCGAGATCGTGACCTGAGCTGAAGTCGACGCTTAACTGACTAAGCCACCCAGGCGCCTCTGCATTTTGCTTTTCTGATCTGTAATTGTTCAGTGCTAGGGAGAATTAGCTTTCCCCTGCTGTGGCCTGGGTTGGGGGGAGGGGGGACAGGCAGGGAGTCCTTTCTGTTGGGCATGCTGTCTGAGGGGCTTGGGGTGGCTGTTTCAAAGTGTTATCCCCAATTAGTGCTCGCTTCGGCAGCACATATACAGAGTGTTATCCCCAATCTGGGAGCAGCTGCCTCTGTTGCTGGGCAGATGCCTCTTGTTGCCCACAAGAGAATCTTGTTGGGGGATCTGGGGGTCGGTGGCAGGCTGGATCGGGGGGTGCACTGATGCTGGGATCAAGGGGCCGCTGGTCGGCGGAGGGGGGCGGTGCGTGGGAGGCTCCTGCACCGTTTGCACTGACATGCGACTTGGTGCCTGCCAAAGCCCACCTGTGATAACCATTTGTTCAGTAACTGAATAAACAGATAGTGGAGTGCCTGGTTATGTTCCTGCCTGGTGGGGGCCCCGTTTGGTAATGTTCTGGGTGTAAAAAAGCTAGGTGAGGGCTTCCTAGGAGTCGCCCTTCAGCCAGTGAGGTATTATGTGGAGATGCCTGCTTCAGACCGTATGCACCGAGACAGGTATGTGGGGGATGTCCTCATGTGCCCACCCACCAGGAACTCCCCATCCATTCTGTTCCTCGGCAGTGCCTGCGGAAGGTGACCCTGACTGTTCAAATGATGATAAACTGCTGGTTTTGATGCAAGCCGGGTCCTCTGGAGGGCCCACAGAGCTGTGCTCTTGTGAGTGAGTCTCAGGATGTCATTAGACGTTGAAGAGACATACACATGGGTCACGTTCAGCACAGCATTACTTTCAAGTCAGTGAGACAGCCCCATAATCATCCTTAGGAAATAATGGTTTTTTAAATAAGAAAGCACGGAGGGGTGCCTGGGTTGCTCACTCTGTTGAGCATCTGACTTGATTTTGGCTCAGGTCATGATCTCAGGGTCGTGAGATCAAGCCTCACATTGGGCTGAGCACTGGCCGTGGAGCCTGCTTAAGATTCTCTCTCCCTCTGTCTCTCTCCCCAGCCTCCCTCTGCCCCTCTTCCCTGCTCGAGCACTCTCACTTTTTCAAAAACAATTTTTTGTTAAACAAGAAACCAGGGGGAAACACAGTTAGTGATTGACTCTAACACACAGCAGAGGAGAGCGGTATAGAGAATTATTAAGAACATATAGGTACATACAAATGCATAGTCTCCATCCCAGCAGGGAAGGAAACTGAAATTGTTCTCTATGTTCTACCCAGGGACTCAGTGTTAACTGTTAATGTCACTCGCTCAGTCAGCAGGCACTGGTTAAATGCCTGCACTGTGGCATTTGGGTCAGATAGAGTTCTGTTCTGAAAGGAGCTGTAACCCTCAGTAATGACTGTTTCAGGGGGCAAAGGGACGATAGGGAGTTAGGGCAAAGCAGGTGGTGAACAGCCCAGGACCAAATCTTAGTTCTGTGACTCTGCTGGTCTGAACCTGCTCTTGTTTGTAAAGTGGAGATAATGCTGTCCTTTGGGGTTAAATCAGATGACTGTGTGTTTTACTGAAAGTGCAGTAATGGCCCATAGGCATGAAGGGCACGGGGTGGGGCAGGGGCAGAATTAACCTGAAAGGGTCCATTTTCCAGGTGGTGAGGGTTAAACCCTCAGCCTGGCTGGCAGTTTGCTGATCCTGGGCCCCTGTGGTTGTGGAGAGCTGAGTGAGCAAGACTGAGGAGTCAGTGTCACTGCCTTTCTCTGATGCTGTCTTTGCAGGCAGTCACGGTGCCTTCTGACCTCAACAGAGCAGAGGGTGTGCAGGAGGGGCTCCGTCTTAGAGGGGACTGTTAGCATTCCTTTGCCTAAATCCCCACCTTCATACCTAAGTGACCGTTTATCAATGACAAGGTTTATTTTCCATATCTAGAGACCAGGAAGTGGGAACATTCAGAGGGCTGCATCTTGGAGACTCAGAGTGGACCCAAAAAGGACCCTAGAGATCACGTACCAGGCACGGAAGACAGGTTTTGTTTCATGTGTCAACTTCGGTTGATTGGCAGGTGCTGTCCAGTGCTCTTTTCAGAGGGATTCTGAGGCCTCTTTCCAGGCTGCTTAACAAGGTGTTGATATTGACGAGCCACATGTACCACAGACAGGAGATTAGAAAGGGGGTTTTCCAGCCCTGATCTAGCTCTGCCTCCCCATTTTAGAGGTTCATGTACTTTAATTATCAAACTACACTTCGAAGGGCACCTGGGTGTCTCAGTTGGTTAAGAGTCTGCCTCTTGATTTCGGCTCAGGCCATGATCGCATGGTTCGTGGGATCCAGCCCCATGTTGGGCTCTGTGCTGATAGTGCAGAGCCTGCTCAGATTCTCTCTCTCTCTCTCTCTCTCTATACCTCCCCTGCTCGCTCACTCGCTCGCTTGCATGCTGTCTCAGAAATAAATGAACTTACTAAAAAAAAAAAACCCCACTTCTATCTACCTACTGCCTATCTACTTCTATCTTTTGTCTACCCTCACACACATGCAATATCAGATAGTTTCCCTTCTGTTTTGGAAGCAGGTTGCTACAAACATCTAACTTTATATATAGCTTAGATCAGCATATGTTGATGCATTCTGTTTCTGCTAAGAAAGGCTGGTGTGAGTTTCTCTGTGTCAGGACTGTAGGAGGCAGGTAGTAAAGGAAGGTTTTTCTTAGATTCAGCCATTAGCTCAGGCTGTCGTGGGATTCCCCCTGGGGTTGTGGGTAGACGCAGAGGGTGTTGGATGTTTTTGACCCTCCCCCCTTGGTTGCCTGTGACTCGCTCGGTGGAGAAACGAGCATCGCTTCATACCCTGCCCCCATTTCTCACTCTGAAGACCCACCCGTAACCACAAAGCATTCGTAATTTGACAGACGCCATGTTCCCTTACCTCTGGGCCTCTGCACATGCTGATCCCTGTGCCTGAGCCCTGGTTCACCTGCGTCCCACATCCCTCATCATCCTTGGGTCTCAGCTCAGGGGTCATTTCCTCAGGAAACCTTGCCTGATCCTTACTGCAAACTAGATGTCCTTCCTCTGGGTTTCCATAGCATTTATCAGCTTTTTAAAATTGCTGGTCCTGGTCTGAGCTCAGAGGACTGTGTTGATTCTGGTTCTGTTCTCAGCGAGCCTCCACCCCTGGGGGTGCTTGGGAGGGAGTTGCCTGCAGGTTTATTTCTTCTTGGCCTGCTTAAGTGTGTCACTGAGCCAGTCTTATTGGCAGGGACCCAGTACAGAGTCTTCGGGTATGTTTTGAAACTACTCAAAACCTACAATCTGGCAGATTTATGAAAATAGCAGTAGTTTGCCTTACTGTTGAAATCCTGAGAGAAATTTGGCATCAGCTTCCCAGGAGAAATGAGGGAACTTGTATTCTTCCATTTTTTATTTTCGTATACTTTTTTAACTTCACAGGAATCTGTGTAGGGGTAAAAATCACAGGATGCATTTATTTATTTTTTAATTTTTCAGAATGGGTTTTGTTTTTGAGAGAGAGCATGAACGGGGGAGGGGGCAGAGAGAGAGGGAGACACAGAATCCAAAGCAGGCTCCAGGCTCCGAGCTGTCAGCACAGAGCCCGATGTGGGGCTTGAACCCACGAACTGTGAGATCATGACCTGAGCCAAAGTCAGATGCTCAACTGACTGAGCCACCCAGGCGCCCCAGGATGCATTTATTATAAGCAAATGTTTGTATTCACTTAGCCTGGTGAGAATGAGCACAGCACTGGTTCATTTGAATGAGGGCAGGGGTGATTTTCCTGGTGCCCTGTTCATTACCAAAAAGTTTATTTTAAATACTTTTTTTCCATGAGAAATTTTCTAAAACTCTGTCCCTTTAAAACCTTTCCCGGGCGCCTGGGTGGTGCAGTCGGTTAAGCGTCCGACTTCAACCAGGTCACGATCTCACAGTCCGTGAGTTCGAGCCCCGCGTCGGGCTCTGGGCTGATGGCTCAGAGCCTGGAGCCTGTTTCCGATTCTGTGTCTCCCTCTCTCTCTGCCCCTTGCCCGTTCATGCTCTCTCTCTGTCCCAAAAATAAATAAACGTTGAAAAAAAAAATTAAAAAAAAAATAAAACCTTTCCCCCCTACTCTGTTCCAAGACTTAGCAAAACAGGAATTGCATACTTTTCTAATAGGTGTGAGTGAGTGAGTGAATGAATGAATGAATGACTGACTGACTCATAGTTGTCAAGGTGTGTAAGTGCTGGGTGCTGAGGGAACAGAACCCTTTGTTGTTTGAATAGCCACAGAATGTAGTTTTGAGGCCTTGGTGTGTGTGTACATAGGGTTTCTGGTCTTTTCCTTG